GGTCACACGTTCGGTTCGGGTCCCACGTAGCGACTCTGGAGCTCAAAACGCGTCCGCGATTTTGGCCGGCTCCGCCGGGCTCCACGATACACTGTGATTGGCGTCTCGGATCACCGCGTCGCCGCGTCGCCCTGGCAACGGAGATGCCAAGTTCGGTGATTGCATCATAATCCAGCTTTATGTGCATGCCTTGGCGGTACTGCTCGTCACGGGTCGTCACGGCTCGTCACGGGCAGGCCTCAGGCACGCCTCAGTGCGGGCGTAAAACGCAAAGCCGGTTACTCCTCGAGTTTAATGCACGCGTTGTGACTTTGGCAATTACTACCCCATCACAGGAACGCCCAGGACCGCCCCACCAGCCGGGCGCCAATGCGGCCAGCACAGATTCGGTGCGAACCGGTTCAACGTCCCACCCACTACAATTTTTCATTTATTTTTATTTAAAAAAAGGTCACTTAAATGGTAAATAAATTTTAAATTTTGTTCAGTGCTAGGATATGGGCATAAAACATGAAAAAAATAGGAAGCACTCCCAATTTTTAAAATATTTTTTTTTGCAAGTTATCTAATAAAAACCCTCTTTCTATTGAAGCAGAATGAACATTTATTTTTTGGGGCGGAGAGGAAATGAACCATTTTCGAACATTCGTTTCGTTTATCTCTACCTTTGACCTTGGCCTTCCAGTGGCGTTTTTTGCAGTGCGGGTCACCCGTCATCCCGCATTCAATGGCTAGCCCAGGCCAAGCATCGGACATAAAGCGCGTAAAAATATTATTTCCCCGCACAAGTGCCGCGAGGACGGTATGAATAAGTGACACCGTCGTTATGGCCCTTTAGGCCCTTTAGGGCCCACCTCGCCCGGCCTGCTCCCTGCGCACAGTGGGCCAGAGGGCCGGTGGAGGCTGCCAAACTCCAGACGCGTTTTGAGCTCCAGAGTCGCTAAATGGGACTCCAACCGAACGTGCGACCCGCCAATGGATTTCTCGTGCGGAAAGCAATCCATTGGTGGGACGTTCGGTTCGAGTCCCATTTAGCGACTCTGGAGCTCAAAACGCGTCAAAAATTTTGTCCGCCTCCACCGGTCTTCTGGCCCACTGTGCCTCGCCCACTGCAGAGTCGTTCGTTGCTCTGTCGCACCGCACGGGACGTCCTATGAGTGCAAGAGGGACGAAAACGACTCTCAGAATCAGTCTGCTGCCCCGTTCAAATATCCGATATTTGCGCGTCCAGCGCGGCGCTCCAGTGAACGCCTCACCGGACATTTGAATTTGTTTTTTTGGCATTGGACTGTACGAGCGCTGCGCCAACCTCCGTTCACAGCAGACAGAGTAAAGTGAGCCAGTTTCCAAAAAGGGCTTCGACAGTGTGTTTAAATATGAATGCGCGCGTCAGGACGGGCTTCAGAGCGACACGTCTCTTTCTTTCTCTCTCCCTCTCTGTCTCTACCTCTCTCTCTCTCTCTCTCTCTCGCTCTCCCTCTTTCTCTTTATCTCTGGGCTGCACGACGTCGCGGAGAGAGGAGACTCCAGTCAAGTTTACAAATTTTGAATGGCAACCTTCCTGCTTCTCCGCTATGCGGACATCGGACGGGACGCAGAGTGGCGGGAACTAGGGCCGCGCCCAAAGGGTGAGCGACGGAGAGAGAGAGAGAGAGAGAGAGAGAGAGAGAGAGAGAGAGAGAGAGAGAGAGAGAGAGAGAGAGAGAGAGAGAGAGAGAGACGGAGGGAAAGCAGCGAGAGACAGGCGGGCGCTGCGTCCGGGGAGAGGGTTGTTACAAGATCCAGCCTTTCCGATTCCCAGGCCGATCCCCAGATCTGCCAGCCCAGCAATCCGCCTGCGGACACCATCGGCTTGTTGAGTGTCATAACGAAACGATGAGCACACACTGTGAATCCATATCCGGAGCAGGACTGTTGTCTTGCAAGTCCGCCTCACTGCTCGACCCTCTCAAGATCAAAGGCGTGAGGCCAGCCCTGGCCATAAGGACCCAGGTTCGAGTCCCTGTCGCACAGTGGGCCAGAAGACCGGTGGGGTGGCCAAAGTTTAAGACCTGCGAACTCCAAAGTCACTAGGCAGGGCTTGAACTGAACGCGTGACCTAACCAATGAATTCCTCGTTCGAAGAGAAATCCATTGATGGGGTCACAAGTTCAGTTCAAGTCCCATTTAGGGTCTCCTGGCCCACTGTGTGACCAGGGGGTGGAAACGGGGCTGATTTGGCGGGCCTTGGCTGCGGCGATGCGTGCACGGCCGTTTTTGCCGTTTTCACCACTTTACCGCGTTAGTTGGTAAACCACTTTCCAGCTGAAGTAGTCGTCTTAACGACAAAACCTCAACGCGTACTTAAAGAGTAAGGTTGAAGGATCAGCAAATAAGCTCCTTGGGCCGAATTGATACTTACAAAATGAGATATTCACATTTTTGTAACTTGTTTACATTTTTTTCGGCGTTTTCAGGCCAGAATCGCCGCGCCCGAACGCGGATGAGCCATTTAAAACAAGTTACAAACATGTCCATGACTCGTCCTGTGGGTTTCAAATCTTCAAAACGGGCTTATTTTCTCGAAGAGACAACATTACTCTAGAAGTACACGTGCAGGATTTGTGCATAAGATGTCTACTTTAGCTAGAAAGTAGGTTTCTAGGAACCACAAAAAAACAACAAACAACGGCCGTGCACGCATCGCCGCAGCCATGGCCCGCCAAATCAGCGCCGTTTCCACCCCCTGGTGTGACGCTCGTCCATCGTGTCCCAGCAACCGCCTAAATTTATTTATTTTTTCGCGCGAGACATTTCTTGAAGACCTAACAATCAATCCAATGAGCTTGGCTCAGTGTGTGACGCCCACGTTATCTTCTCATTCAGGGCAAAATCCGATTCCGCTTTCGTTTTCATCAAAGCTACGAGCCAACTGCGTGGATCAAGTGAATCAGGACCACTTTTCCTCCTGGACTCCCCGCGGAGGACACCGCGAAAGATGTTCCGCGAGTGCGTCACAGCCAGCCGGTCAGCCATCCGCACGGTGGGCCAGAAGACCGGTGGTGGTGGTCGAAACTCTAGACGCGTTTTGAGCTCCAGAGTCGCTAAACAGGACTCGAACCGAACGCGTGACCCGACCAATGGATTCCTCGTTCGGAGAGCAATCCATTGGTGGGGTCACACGCTCGGTTACAGTCCTGCTTAGCGACTCTGGAGCACAAAACGCGTCTGGAGTTTTGGACGCCTCCACCGGTCTTCTGGCCCACTGTGAGCCGGCCAGCCGGCTTGGCAGCGAGTAGCTAAGTTTAAATTCGCCGCGCCTAACGGCCCGTCGCCGCGTCGCTGGACGCCGCCAACAGGTGCCCCGTCCGGACGTGTGCTTGCAGTGCTGCAGCTTCCCCGAAGCGTGTGTGAAAAAGTGAGAAAACAGGGGCTACTGGTTGCCCCGGACCGGCCGCGTGCGAGAGAGAGAGAGAGAGAGAGAGAGAGAGAGAGAGAGAGAGAGAGAGAGAGAGAGAGAGAGAGAAAGAGAGAGAGGCAAGCTTGGACCGTGTATCTTCGAACCCGGGCGGCGGATATCCCGACGACGAGGGCCCATCCCTTTGTAAAGCAGACATGCCGACATTTTCCCCGGATCAGTCTGGGCGCAGCAACCCGTTCGGCAGCTGTCTGGCTCTGTGTGCGTGTGTGTGTGTGTGTGTGTGAGGGCACCGCACGCGTGTGCGTGCCTGTGTTTTGTGAAGAAAGAAAAAAGGAAGAATGGGTCGGGTCGACGAGGTATCTAGGTCAAATGGACCACCAAACGATTAACAGAGTAGCCAGGAAGCAACACACCACACGGGATCGGTATGCAAATGAGGCAACTCAAAAGCGGGAGAGAGAGAGAGAGAGAGAGAGAGAGAGAGAGAGAGAGAGAGAGAGAGAGAGAGAGAGAGAGAGAGAGAGAGAGAGAGAGAGAGAGAGAGGGAAAAAGGAAGAAAGCCCGTCATTTCCCGTATCGTGCGTTACACATTTATGGAAATGCAGCGCGTGCTAGGCCCGGAAAATCTAATTAGTGTCCTGGACGAAGGCAAAGAGAAGTGAACGCAGAAAGCCTCGTCACAAAAAAAAAAAAAACTGGCAAGTGGCCGATCGAGTGAGGAACGGACCTCCTGCAGTGGGCCAAAAGGTCGGTGGAGGCGATCAAAATCCCGAACGAGTTTTGAGCTCCTGAGTCGCTGAATGGGACTTGAACCGAAGGTAAGACCCGACCAATGGATTCCTCGTTCGGAGAGCAATCCATTGGTGGGGTCACACGTTTGGTGCGAGTCCCATTTAGCGACTCTGGAGCTCAAAACGCGTCTTGAATTTTGGCCGCCTGCAGCGGTTCTCTGGCCCACCGTGTCCTGCTTCCACGGACGGCCGGCCGGTCGACACGAAAAAGGGCCAGGAATCCTTTGGAAACCGCGGAGGGATCAGGCGACTGCACCAATTAAAGGAGAAAAAGAGGGAGAGAGAGAGACTGGCTGGGAAACAGGAAGAGAGAGCGAGAAAGAGAAAGGGAGGGGGGCGTCGTGGACGTGAGAGAATCCGCCGCCGGCACACTGGTAATTACCCCTCGCCGATTTTCGCGTTATAATCCGAGTCGCTAGGAGCGACGAGCAGAGCAGAGCGCAGCGCGCCAGATCCATACCAAATTCATGACCCCGAAGTCGTGGGCCCGGCCGGTGCACAGGGGGCCAGAAGACCGGCGGAGGCGGCCAAAACTCCAGACGCGTTTTGAGCTCCAGAGTCGCTAAATGGCACTCGAACCGAACGTGTGACCCCACCAATGGATTCCTCGTTCGGAGAGCAATCCATTGGTGGGGTCACACGTTCGGTTCGAGTCCTGCTTAGCGACTCTGGAGCTCAAAACGCGTCAAGAGTTTCGGCCGCCTCCACCGGTCTTCTGGCCCACTGTGCGGCGGCCCGGGTGGACCGAGGCGCAAGGGGCCGCGAGGGGCGCGGCCGGTGAGTCACAGCGCTCGAAAAGAAAGCCGTCCTCGACATAGCACGTGATTTATTTAGTCAGACAAACACACTCGTCACGCATTCACACGTCGTCAGTACAAGTCAGTCTTATCGCAAACCCGCGCCTTGGGACAGGTTGTCGCATGGTCAACAAAAAATAAATTAGGCCGGCCGCAAGGGCCAATAAATAATTAATACATTAAAATAAATTAATAAATTAATTATTCCGACAGCAACGTTTTGAGCAATCATCAGTGCAGAAACGACAGGGAAATAAATTAGCAACAATAAATTAGGGGGCCGGACCGCCGTGGCCGCGGCGCGTCACCGGGGCCGCGGACGTCCCCGACGGCGACGTCGGGCCGACGGCGTGCCGGCATGGCGGTGGCGAGGGTCTAGCTGGCGGGGGCCTGCGCGGCGTACGCCTGCCTCTGGGCGTGGTCGCTCCAGGCGCGCTTGTCCCAGCCGCCCGACGACGCCGAGGGTCCGTAGCCGGAGAACGAGCTGCCGGAGTCCCAGCCGCCGGACGGGGCGCCGTAGCTCACGCCGTGCGCCTTCTTCTCCTGCAGCTTCCAGAAGAACTGGATGACGGCGATGGCCACGAAGATGAAGGACAGGAAGAAGGTCTTGACCTGCAGCAGGAACGACAGGAGGCCGACCTTCATGGAGATGAGCATGCCGAACATCATCTTGAGCATGTAGAAGGTCTGCAGCAGGCCGCCGCCCTTCTTGCCCTTCTTGCCCAGCTTGCCGATCTTGATCTTCTTGCGTCCTGCAACACAACAAGGCGCAGCAAGGCGGTCAGGGAGACATTCCATGCGGGCCCGGAGCCATAAAAGGAGAAAACTAGCCACACACACTCTGACCCAAATCAAGGGCCCGCCCTGGGCCCAGGCCCTGTGTCCAAGCTCTGTGTCCAGGCCCTGGGTCCACACAGTCAAGTCCTTACGGATAGCGTGTTTGTAGGTTACGGATAGTTTTGTGCAGCCATATTACGGATCGAATTTTGTTTGTAATACGGATGATTTTGTCCGTAATACAAAGATTTGGGAATCCGTACGTTACAACGAAATTATTTGTAAAATACGGACACCAAAACCTTTGTATTACGGACAAAAACATCCGTATTACAAACAAAATTCGATCCGTAATATGGCTGCACAAAACTATCCGTAACCTACAAACACGCTATCCGTAAGGACTTTAGCGTGCACACGGTAAAAACGGTTCCTGGTTTTCCCAGGAACTCCCTGGAAATCGCCTATGCCTTCACCATTGGCTTCCTGGGAAAACCAGGTTCCATTTTTTACCGTGCAGGCCCTGGGTCCAGCCAGGCCTTGGGTCCAGGCCCTGGGTCCAGCCAGGCCTTGGGTCCAGGCCCTGGGCCCTGCGCCGCCCGGGCTGTGCGACTCATTGATAAAACTCGTTTAGGAAAAGCTCTTTCGTCCCGTTGCATTTCCCCGGCCGGGCCGATGCTCCCGACGCATCCCGATGTGGGGCCCAAGATCGCGTTCGAGTTTCGACTCATTTGAATTTCGACGCGCGGGTTCGAACAGGGATCTATTTTTTCGGACGGTCCTTTTCCGACGGTTCGAACCAGATTAAAATTCACGGCGAGAGGGACGCGACACCGCGTCGAAAGACAACGGGACTGCCAGACAATGCGTTAATAAGAACACGTGCGCGCTCGGGCCAGGCGCAGGCCGTGCCACAGTGGGCCAGAGGACCGGTGGACGCGGCTAAAACTCTAGACGCGTTTTGAGCTCCAGAGTCGCTGAATGGGACTCGAACCGAACGTGTGACCCCACCAATGGATTCCTCGTTTGGAGAGCAATCCATTGGTGGAGTCACACGTTCGCTTCGAGTGCCATTCAGCGACTCTGGAGCTCAAAACGCGTCTAGAATTTTGGCCGCCTGCACCGGTCTTCTGGCCCACTGTGTCACGGAGGCCGTGCCGGTGGAGGTCGCCCGCGGCGCGTTGGACCAGTATCATTGGGCGCCACCTTTGAGGCGATGGGAACGGCCCCTTGGCATGTCATGACCTATGGCCCGCAGTGTCGGTCCGGCCCGGCCCGGCCCGGCCCCTCCCCCCACCCAATTTACCACGTCCTGCCGGCCGCGCGGCCGCGCCCGGGGGCAGCGTGACGCGGGGCCGGCGGAGCTACAACCGGGCTGCTTTGACGGCCCGTCTCTTTCTTCCTCATCTTTCCCTCTCTTTTCCTCTCCCCCACGCACCGTGCACCGCCCACCTCTCTCTAGTTTCGTGTCTTCGGTTATCGGACGCCAGAGGAAGAGGAGGTGTGAGCCCCCCTCCCCCCCGCACCAAATCAGACTGACCTACTACCGAGTCCCTGGGCGCGCGTCCCGCCAAGTACGTGACTGACCCCCCCCCCTTTTCCCCCTTCCACACACAGACACGCACGCACGCCTCAAAGTCGAACCCAAACTAGTAAACGCCAACGGTCATTTCGGCACATTTCCCGAGCCGTCAACAGGCACTAGCTTGCCCCTCCCCGCCTCTCTCTCTCTCTCTCTCTCTCTCTCTCTCTCTCTCTCTCCGGACGCCCCCAACAAGGCAGGTGTCAACGGGACGCGCTTGGATTAAGGCGTGGAATACTGATCGGCCGACCCACTTGGCTGCAACTGGACACGGCCGCGTATGTGCACTGTGCGACACACTGTCCCGCAGTGGGCCAGGAGACCGGCGGAGGCGGTCAAAACCCCGGACGCGTTTCGAGCTCCAGAGTCGCTAAATAGGACGCGAACCGAACGTGTGACCCCACCAATGGACTGCTCTCCGGACGAGGAATCCATTGGTGGGGTCACTCGCTCGGTTCGAGCCCCATTTAGCGACTCTGGAGCTCAAAACGCGTCTGGAGTTTTGGCCGCCTGCACCGGTCTCCTGGCCCACTGTGCGTCCGACACGTCCTGGCGGTCGACGGCGACCCCCCGCGTCGGCGAGCTGCCCGAGAAGAGCAATTGGATCCAGATCGGTGGGCAGGCCCTGGGCAGGCACGCCGAGCTGCCGGGGCGAAGCGGCGAAGCTGTTAGAAACCGCGCGTTTGGACACCACGCCGCACCAATCGACTCCTGGGACGCATTAGCGTGCATTTGTCCCGCAAGGCGATAGCGATTCGATTGCTCGACACCTCGAGTTCGACAGGTCGGTGCCACTGCGTTACAGGACCCACGCTTGGCCGGCCAAGACCGCGTGGCGCCGCGCGTCCCCTCCACGCGGCTCGCCCCGTCTCTCTCGCACCCCAGCGCAGCGCAGCGCAGCGCAACGCAGCGCAACGCCCCACAGGTGTGAGAGAGACGACTGCTCGGTATGAAAAAGTCAGCCGGCAATAACGCGCACCTAACAGGAGCTGGCAGAGCTTTACTGGGGCATTTCTCGAGGTCGTAAACCTAACAGTGATAAGGCGGTGCCGCTACTGGAAAACGATAATTGGCGCTGCGGAGATTCGAACCCGCCAACCGTGACTCGCCGGCCCGGCGCGCTACCACTCGGCCACCACGATCGGCGGCGGATGAGGTGCTATTTCCGGCACGTGTGCCTACTGGCCGCGGCCTGCGCTTCGACGATGCGAACACAGCGTTTTGAATCGCAAACAGACGAAACTGGAGGAAGCAGGGCGCACTGTGACGAAGCCCGTTCCAGACGCGCGGTGGGGCACTTTAAAAAACTTTGAAAATCTACTTAGGGTGGACTCACCTTCTTCGATGGCGCGGCCCTGGTTGTCGGTCTCAGCCTCGGCCTCGGCGACCTCCTCCTGCTCCTCGTCCTTCTTGAGGTACTCGATCATCCTGGCGGTGCCGTCGTGGAGGACCTCGAGGAGCGAGTCGTCCTTGGTGCTGGGGGCGGCGGCGGCGGCGGCGGCCGCCTCCTTCTTGCTGACGTGCAGCTCCTTGAGCGCGCGGGCCGAGTTCTCCCGCAGGCAGCCGACGGCGTCGTCCTCCCAGACGCAGCCGAGGAGGGCGGACCATCCCGACGACGGGGAGGTGCTCGCGACGGCGGGGGCCTCGGCGGGGGTCGCGTCGCCGGCGGCAGCGGCGGCCACCAGGGCGGCGGCGAGGACGTAGTACGCGAACATGGCTGCGGTTCTGCGGCTCTGCACACGCACTCACTGGCTCACTACTGACTCCTGAGCTGCTGACTCGTGGAGAGACGACGCTGCACTGTGACCGGGACAGAGGGCCAGCGTAGTTTTACCTGCTACTCGTGTAAACAATCGGACACCGCCCCCCTCCCGGCCGCCTCTCGCTGCTACCACCTCCACCTGGACGCGGTCCTCTGCCAGACGCCCGCCGCCCCGCGGCCCCCCTGGGCCCCCCTGGGCCCCCCTCCCGGCCGTGGACTTGGCCGCCGCGGTGGAGGGACGGAAGGACTGAATGGTAAAAGCACTGCATGAAAGTTTTCAAATATTTGCACGGCACTGTGATGCCCCGCACACACACACACACACAAACACGCAGAGCGAACGCGAACAGCGGTACTGCTGAGGATCGGGCTGAGGATGAACCCCTGGAGACAGCCCGGGTCCGAGCCCCGAAGCCCCGACCTAGCGGCGCGTGGCGTTGGTCCGCAGAGCCCCATCTTCGCGGAGAGCACTCCACCACTCCGGACTCCAGGGCGTGACACAGTGTGGGCGCACCTTGCCGGACGCGGGCCGACATGGCGTATCTCACTCTAGAATTTTTGACGCGGTGAAAAGTGCAAGAAACCTCATTGCTTCGGTCTATCGGCCCTGCCGGCGCCTCGCCCACGACGCCGCACAGTGGGCCAGAAGACCGGTGGAGGCGGCCAAAATTCGAGACGCGTTTGGAGCTCCAGAGTCGCTAAGCAGGACTCGAACCGAACGCGTGACCCCACCAATGGATTGCTCTCCGAACGAGGAATCCATTGGTGGGGTCACACGTTCTGTTCGAGTCCCATTTGGCGACTCTAGAGCTCAAAACGCGTTTCGAAATTTGGCCGCCTCCACCGGTCTTCTGGCCCACTGTGCGCCGGTTGTTGACGGGGAGGTGCCAGGCCATCGCGGTGTCATCATCGAGTTTTAACACTGCTCCGTGTGCCCACAGTGAACCCCGTGTTGGCCCGCTGGCCCAGCCAGGTCGCACAGTGGGCCAGAAGACCGGTGGAGGCGGCCAAAACTCTAGACGCGTTTTGAGCTCCAGAGTCGCCAAACAGACCTCGAACCGAACGTATGACCCCACCATTGAATTCCTCGTGCGGAGAGCAATCCATTGGTGGGGCCACACGTTCGGTTCGAGTCCCATTTAGCGACTCTGGAGCCCAAAACGCGTCTGGAGATTTGGCCGCCTCCACCGGTCTTCTGGCCCACTGTGGGTCGGCCGCCTCGCGCTTCGCCCACGAAGCAACTTGTTGACGGCGAGGTGCCGGACGCCGTGGCGACGCCGTGGCGGACGCCATTAGAGCAGTGTCGCCGTTCCTCGCACGTTTCACTTTCAAAGGCACCGACAAAAGAAAGGCGGCGCCGGGACTCGAACCCGGGCCCCGGGGGGCCGAAAAGGGAGGCTGGTGTTTGAACCCGCGACCGCGAGAAAAAGCAGCAAGTGGAGCCCCCTTGAGCTGGTGGAACCCAGCGCGCCAACAGGTGGGGTGTTCTTTCTGTTACGAGCATCCCGAAGGGGAGTCGAGAAGTGGGACCGAAGTTTGACGAAACCCTAGGTCACGTCGTGTCTGTTCTCACTGTACGCTCAGCGCCACGGCTCCCATTTTCATTTTTCGAATTGGAAACTCATCCGGGCCTAGCCTTGAGGTGCGGGGCGGGGCAGCCCAAGGGGCGGCCGGCCTGTACCAAGCCACTGTTAATTCGGCGGTCCTCCGAAAACGACTCATAATGCCATGTTACGGCTTACGAGATCGTAAAAAGTTACAACCTGGAGGCCTCCAGCGCACTGCGGGCACGGCAGCGAGGCAGCCAGGCAGCGCGTTGTCCGAGGCAAGACGAGCCAGCCCTCCATGACCAGCTCCAAGTTCAAGGGCTTCCCTGCGCGGGGCGGGCCGGACCTCTCGAGGGCTTTCTACGCCCCGCGCTCCGTGAGCCGAGCCAGGGCGAACAAGGAGCAAGTTCGACAAGGACGGGAATCATTTCAAAGGGCCGTCCCACGGTGGGCCAGAAGACCGGAGGAGGCGGTCAAAATCCCGGAAGCGTTTTGAGCTCCAGAGTCGCTAAATGGGACTCGAACCGGACGTGTGACCCCACCAATGGATTGCTCTGCAAACGAGGAATCCGTTGGTGGGCTCACACGTTCGGTTCGAGTCCTATTTAGCGACTCTGGAGCTCAAAACGCGTCCGTAGTTTTGGCCGCCTCCTCCGGTCTTCTGGCCCACTGTGCATCCGACACGTCTTAGCCAAAAATTCATTTTCTCTGAAAAAAAAAAAAAAACGGGCACCAAATTTGGAGCGACACTGGAAACAAAGGGGCCGAGTGCGTCCGAGGCATCACACCGCTTTCCAGAATCGGGTCAGTGGATAAGGTGGGTCGTAGTAATGGAAGAGCCCGGTGACGTAGCTAGCCAGCCAGGCCGAGGGGCAGCCTGGGGCAGCCTGGGGCAGCCGGGCCCGTAGATTAAAATGACAAAGTGCGCCCAAGTGCGGGGCGTGAATGGGAATGGGGGGCCGGACCAGTCCCATCGTCTGTTTCGTCTCAACAAGGCAAGCGCTTCTCCTTGTCACAGCGTGTCACACCGAGCTCCAGCCCCAATCGCTTTAATTCATTCATTTTCGTCATCAGACCCAAGTGTAACACAACTCGTTCAAAAATAATTTGTTTGATTTTTTTCATGAATTTGACTAGTTGGAACAGCGACTCAAGCAGCAGTCGGTTCCCTTCTGTGCTCCCTTCGGGGCCTTTGGGGTCTTTGAGGCCTTCGGGCTTCTTTGGGCCGTTCGGACGAAGAGTAATCCAATAATTGGGCAGACAATCACCTCGCGCGACAAGCGGCCCGTATTACCTGGATTCCAAATTGCCGGCCGATGGCAGCCACGCCGCGCCATGCCGCGCCATGGCGTGTCGGGGAAGGGGTGGGGGAGGGGGCGGCAGAAGATGATTAATTATAAAATACCGCACGGTTCGAACCCGGCAAGAATTTCCCGTGCAGTGAAAGTGCGGAGGGGCATGGCGGGGCGTGGCGGGGCGCGGTGGGGCCCACTGTGTGTTCGTTCGTTAACACCACGGTGGCCCTCGCTGTGTGTGTTTGCCATTTGGTTCCCGTGCAGGTAGCGTGTTGGCGTAGAACAGGGGGCCCCCGGTCTGGCCCCGGTCACCGAGCGCCCAACGATGCGGATCAACAAAAAAGGGAGAAACGTTATCCCCGAAAAACGCTGCACTTCTAATTAATAATTAATCAGATGCGTGCGTGGAACTATAACGCCGAGATGCGGGTCTGATTGGCGGGGATTTTTGTTCTTCGCGCTGACATTCTCTCTGGCGAGTCTCACGCCGCTTTGGCCGCTTTGCACTGCCAATCGCTCCAAGAGCTGCCCGCAAACCCTGGGCCGACGTGCCGTGGAGCCGTGCTGTGAAGCCAGCGAAGCCAGCGAAGCCAGCCGGAAGGCGGCTGGGCCGTGGCCGGGCCGTGGCCGGGCCTCGCGACAGCGCTGGCACCGCTCACACCACATTAGCACCTTTCCGCGCCCAGTGGGCCCAGCGGGCCCAGTGGCGTTCCAATAGAAAGTGCCGACCACGGGCATGACTTTTGGGCTGGTCTAGGCCCGCGTCTAGCCGCGTCTAGCCGCGTAGGGCTGCTGGCCTGGGAACCCGCGTGCGGATACCGCCTCGTTAAAGGAGCGGCCGCGCGGGATGGGATTGCTTTGGTGGCCTTTTAAAAGAAAAAAAAGTTTGCAAAACTCATTTAAAAAGTTGTTAAAAATTAACAGTTGTTTTTTTTAAATTTACAGTCGTTTTTAAAAATTTACAGTTGTTTTTAAAAATTTGTTGCTTTCAAAAATTTACAGTTGCTTTCAAAAATTTACAGTTGTTTTTAAAAATTCACAGTTGTTTTTAAAAATTGACAGTTGCTTTTAAAAATTTACAGTTGTTTTTAAAAATTTACCGTTGTTTTTAAAAATTTACATTTGTTAAAAAAAAACATTGAGTAAGTTATCTTTTTGGCTCGCATTTTGGATTTCCTGTACGAGAGCGATTCGTTTGCTTTCTGACGAGCGATTTTTTTTCCGGGGCGTGCCGGTGTCATCGTCCCGGCGAGAGAGAGGCGTCCGCGCCACGCGTCCTCTGCTTGCTTTGGCGAGTCGGCCGCGCCGCGCCGCGCCACGGAAGCCAGAGGGAAACGAAGGGCCAAAGGACGAGGGATGAAGCAGCGTCCTGGAAGGGCCGCGTAGATTAGCCCTTTTGCAGTGCCTCTGGCTTGGCCGTGCCTCGCTTCCCCGTGCTTCGCCGTGCTCGGCAGATTTCGGGCCGCCGGGCCTCCGTTATGTCTGCTTGTTTGGCCAGCACACACTGTGCGCCACACTCACTGACCTGGCTGTACAATACACTTTCCTCAAGCTGGCTCCTTCCCAGAGGTCATAAAGCCATCGCCAAAGAGTAGGAACAGGCCCAGCCCCGTGACGTCAGGTAAAAAAATGTGCCAGCGGGGGGCGTCTGCTATTTCCATAGAAATGAAGGCTGGGCCGCACCCTACACTGCTCGATAGTGTGGTCGGGACATGAGGCATCGACAGTCCGGAACGAACTGCCTTGATGAGCACAGCTTTTCCTCAAACAGTCTTGGATGAATTCGCTTCTTCTTCCGGTGCGAGCGGGCCGGGGCAGGCCGGGGCCAGCAGCGACAGGCGGGGCCTTGCTGGGATCCGCCCGGGCCCCAAAGAGACATCCAGGTTCCCTTGTCTCGTGTACACAAGTGGGGCCATGTCTGGACACAATATCATCGAATCCGCCTCCGCTGTTGCCTTTGCCTCAGCAGATGACTGCTCCTCTGTTTTCTCTTTGAAATTCGGCGAGCCGGGCCCCGGGCTCGGCCCGCATCCCCGGGGCGACTGAATTTGCTTGCCGACGACAATCAGAAAGGATCGGATCGGACAAAAGAGCCGGGCCGCCTCGCAGGCTCGCTGTCTGGACCACGCCGCCGGTCCGTCGCTCCCAAACAATCCAAACACATTTCACCGTTTGAGGAAAAGATAAGGCT